AAGAGTGATACCATATATGCCCCATAGCTGCAGAAAAGGCTAACATTGTTATCTTTTTACAAAAAACAGCTGAACATGAGAGGTTTTTGGACAAATTTGTGTTCTCCATTCTTTAAGCACCGGTTTGAGCACCGTTTGAGCACCGGCACCGTTTCAAAAGTACCGATTTGGCACCGGTATCGGATGAAACCTAAACGATACCCATCCCTAGCTGTGTTTTTGTGTTTCTGCAGACCTCAGACATCCTGCTGCTCTGGACAACTGAAGAGACCCAGCAGGTCAGCTGATCTGTGGTCAGCACCAGCATCTCTAACTAAGTTTGAGGGGTGAGCAGTCTTTGGAAGCCTTTACTGTCTGACAGTGATGTTTAAACGATGGCTCAGAGCAGAATTTGGATCATTATTTTGCTTTCCTTCTATTACTATGTTTAGCTTCTGCTTCACAGATATTCTCTGAAATGTTTCCTACTGTTGGACAAACTTCCTTCATAACAGAGTTCTTCCGTGGAATCCATCTGTGCACACACACATAATATCAGCCTGATGTCTGCAGTTTAGTGTCAGCACGACTTTCACATCATATTCATCTCAGCACAACTAAAACATGCTGACTGACCTCAGAGTTTCAAGTCCACATCCTGGACTCTCCAGAAAACCACACAGCTGCTTCACTCCTGAATCCTGCAGGTTGTTGTTCCTAGTCAAGGACAGGTAGTCATTACTCAGGTCCAGCTCTCTCAGATGGGAGGGGTTGGACTTCAGCGCTGCTGCCAGATAATCACAGCTGATCGTTGACAAACCACAGTTCCCCAATCTGTATCAAGAATGAAAGATGTGAATTTATTAGACAAAGTGTGAGCTTAAAAATCATTCAGTATCATCTTTCATCATCTGTTCAGAGCTGAAGAAGGTTCAGAATGTAGAAGTTTAGAAAATGGAAACTCCAAACAGCTGAAGCCAACAGGAAGCAGCTTCAAACAAGCACAACAAGAAGAAAAAACTCTGAAATTTTCACATTAAAGTCATACATTTCTAACAAGAGTATTTTAAAGACAGCGTCACTCATGATCATCTTCTGCTCAGTAAAACTTGGTTTTCCACATGTCAGTGTTAATGATGCACATACGTCTTAATTCAAAGAGGATGACAGAAAGATGGTATAAGAGCATTAAGAACCCAAAGAAGAGCAGAAGGATTTTGGAGCCTGTTGGATTGAAGCTTTCACAGAGACGTGTTTTACTGGACACAACTAGGACACAGACTTTTAATCCCGAGATTTGGATGACCTTTCTGTCCTTATGTTCACAAATGATGCTGTAACTCTGTGACTGTCCTGGAACAAATTGGGCCCCCTCGAACTTTTCCACATTTTGTCACATTACAGCCACAAACATGAATCAATTTTATT